GCAGCAGCGAAGGATCATCTCACTTGGAATCTAGAACTAGATTAAGTCATTATCAGCAGGATCATAAAGATGAACATGCAACAGGAAAATGCGTTTGGGGAAAAGTAAGAACAGAGTTTGTCTATACACATGAACTTATCTAGACAAATGCAAATGTACAGTGAATGACTACCTCAGGGCAGGGATAATTAGCAACCTGGAATATATACCTCGAAGAATGTACCCAGAAGGAAATACTGAATGGCATGGCTATGGACTAAGTGTGAGAAAAAACAAAGTGATTTGTAGAGTGGGATGTGATGGGTCGCTGTATGGTTCTTGGGTTCTCAGAGAGAAATCATTGACAAGACAGTAGCTAGATGCAAAAGCATGCTGCCTGTCTGCCAGAGAGGATACGAGGCAGGAAACGGACTCTGGGTGTACGGGCGGGCAGTTCTGAGCCCCAAAGGCAAGTCTTCTAGCGTGAGGCCAGCATCACCGTTTAGGGCACAGCAGTTAGAAGGACAGCTGGCTTCTGAACTGCAGCAGTTGGAGAAAGGAGAGTGGAATGTTAGTTGCTGGATGTTCAGAGATGAAGCTGTGATCCCAGCAACGTGTTTGCAGCAAAGCTGTCTTTTTCAATCATGAGCGTAAAGACGAACATTTTCATAGACACAGACTGGGAGAGGTTACCAGCAGATCTTCCACACTAAGGGACTTCTAAACCAGGGGCGGGGCAGACCTTGGGGGAGAGTCGTCGAGTGCAGCCTGTGGACCAACTCAGAATCAAGTTTTTAGAAGAATAAAGTAAAAATACATAGGATTGGCAAAGGAAATGAATTATTTTGAACTGTTTTAAAATCAGATTATTTTTGAAAGTGTCATGAGGAATGTGCTACTTGCTTAGCTCGTAAAATAGCAAAATGCGGTGATGGGTTTAGTCACCATCCTCACTTAAGAGTAAACAAGCCCGTGGGAAGGTGCCATCCCTCAGGGAAGGAACAGGACAAATGAACTGGCTGCGCAGAGTAACCTGCACAAAAACACCCCGTGCATCATAACGGACCGTGGCATATTTCACTGTTCACCTTCTGCCTTGTGACTCAGGGAGACTGTTTTTAAATGAGACTGTGTTTGTCATCCATTCATAGCTTCATTATGCCTTCCAGCCTTCTTTGTCTGTCAGGGGCGGGGGGGAGGTTGGTTGAGTTGAAGAAAGGTGGCTCTCCTTGTACATGATGGGGGTATGATGGATGGGTGCAACTCCTCAGAGCTGGAGAAAGTTAGGACCACAAACCGGAAGTGGAAAGTTGGGGAAAAGAGTGTTTCAGGAGGAGGGAGCTATGGAAAGCATGGGTGCGAGTGTGTTCCCAGAACTGGACACAGAAGTCAGAAGGCACACACACCTGGGCATGCCTTCTCATGTGGCCGCAGCAGGACCTAGACAAAGAAACAAGCGCAGGGGGTCGGCACCATGGCATGGTGGCTCAAGCCACCGCCTATAGTTCTGTCATCTTATATGGGTGCTGGTTCAGAGCACTGGCTATTTAAGTTCCTATCCAGTTTCCTGCTGATGAGTCTGGGAAAGCAGAGGAGGATGGCCCAGATACTTGGGCTCCTGTACCGCCGTAGGAGACCTGGATGAACCTCCTGGTTCCTGATGTCAGCATGGCTAAGCATGGACTCAATGGATGAACCAATGAAAGGAAGATCTCTCTCTCTTTCTCTCTCTCTCTCTCTCTCTGTATAACTCTACCTTTCAAGTAGATAAATTTTAAATTTAAAAAAGGAAAGATGTAGAAAGAAAAGAAACCGGAAGCAGAGGTCAGCCCAGACCTGCAGTCCGGAATGCTTGGGACATGCTGGTCAGCAGACCTCTGATTCCCTCCAGTTCTGCAGCGGCTGTTCTTTCTCTGGACAGCCCTCTGCACGCCTTCTCAGTGGCACACGGGTGTCATGGCAACGATTGGCACGTCTGCCACGTCTGGTCATTTACTTGGCTTTCAAGTCTGCATTCTAGGACTTGCTGAAATGTTGCCTTTGCATTCCCCTTTGAACCCGATTTGACAATTAGAAAAGAGTTCTTGATTTTTAGGTAGGAGAGAACATTCTAGCATCTAGAGGATAGGATTTAGAGAGCCAATTGAATTCCAGCCCTACACGGCTGGACCAAGGCGGCCATCTGAAGAGGAAGGCCTCGGGTTCCCAGAAGTCATCACTTTCTCCTGGTAGCCCAGTTCCCCTCCCGTCATTCCTGCAGCAGGAAGCTCTGTCTCATTTCTGATCTGACCTGTCGCCTCTCTTGGGCGTGTTGGAGCAGTGGAGAGAGGAGTGGGCACCGTTGTAGCGGCTCCTGGAGCCTGACAGGTCAAGCCCTGCCTCTGGACAGAGACGCCTTTCCCGTTCCTCCTGGCCGTCCTTTCACAGCGGCTTCAGTGGCTCTTCCTTCTGACCTAGGTGCTCCCTTGGGAGGAGTGGCTCTGGGTTCCCTCCCCAGCCCAGCAAGTGTCCTGGGAGAGGAGGCACCCTGCCTCAGGATATGAAAAGCCACCTGCTTTCTGGCGTGGCCCCAGCCTTCCCTCCTTCGGGGTCTGACTCTAGCATTTCTTATTGGAGAGCCATGACAGTCTGTTCTTTGTGGGAAGTGTAACCCCAGGATGCCGTTGAATGCAGTAATGTGTTAGCTTGTGCTCTTATAACGAAGATGTATAACCGGAGAGGCATAAGCAACAGATTCTTTTTTCTTTGCAGTTCTGGAGGATGGAGTGCCCAAGGCCGAGCAGGGTCTCATGTGGCTGGTGGCTTCTGGCGAGGGCTCCTTTCCAAGCTTGCAGACAGCTGACCTCTTTCAGCATGGGCTCTGGGCCTTTCCTTGGTGCATACACATGGGAGGGGGAGAAGTGCCCCCACCCCCGCTCCTATGGCAGTGCTAATCCCATGAGGAGGACGGGGGGCGGGGGGTGGCCAGGAGCTGTCAGTCAGGCAAGTGAAACCAGAGTGGACCAGAGCCCTGGCCTAGGGGACAGAGAGGGACAAGCAAATGGAGGCAGGTCGCAAGGCCGTACTGGCCCTGCCTTGCAGCCAGCTGGGTCGCTGCATGGTGCAAGGAATACAGAGTGGTGGCGTGCTTGATGGAAATTAAGAAGAGTTGGCGGTGGCAAGGGGAATTCCGTTTGTAATGTTGAGCATGAGCTGTTGCAGGCAGTTCCAGAAAGATCTTCGTGTGGGAAACAACATGGAACCTGAATGTAAAATGATAGAGGGGTGGGGGGCACGATGCCTGCCTAGGGGAATGGCGGGGCCTCGGAGGAGCTGTGTTAGAGTATAGAAGGCAGGCGAGAGAGGTTTTATTAGCTGGGGGATGTGCGAATGAGGCTCTGCTGTGGGGAGGCGTGAGGATATTAGTCAAGGATGTCCCCAGGGAAGGAAGGCTGGGCAGTAGCAACCAGAGAGGAGATCTGGGGGCTGGGAAATGGCTGCAAATTGGGTTTGTCAACTGTGTTTGGGGGATGTGTGTGCACTGAATGGAGCCTGTTGGGTCTATCCACTGCTGTTGAAGGGGAACCTGAGGCCCAGGGGACTTTGCAGGTCTATGGGTCTGGCCAGTCCCTCGGGAATCCCGGGAAAAAACACAGCCAAGTCCTCCCAGGCAGGCTGCTGAGCCATGCCCAGTGTCCAGTGCGTGTGATGCAGCCTTACAGGAGGCCTCCTACCCAGACATCCTCCTGCTGCTGGGGAGTCTGAACCAAGGGCCTCCCTGGATGGGTGGGATATGGCTGGTGAAGAAGAGGGAAAGGTCTTGCAATTTGGGCTTGAGCAACCAGGAGGAAGGAATGCTCCGTGGAAGATAGGGATTACAAGAGCTGGACAGGATCTGGGAGCTGAAGGCTGCAGATTCCTTTTTGGATGTGTTGAAATGAGGGCAGCAAGCATCAGGTGTATAGCCACGTAGCAAGTGTCACTCAGGGCCAGCCTGTGAGCTGGAGCTTACCGCAATGCCAGTGAGTTCCAGGAGCCCTAAGAGAGCCCACCGAGCCTCTGGGAAGCGAGACGAGGAGCCCCGCAGGTGCAGGTCTTGCATGTACAGACCAAAGGAGGGATGGAGGGGCCTGAGGGAGGCCGAGAAGAACAGCTCTCTGGGGTAGCAGGTGACTGAGAGCTGCAGAAGTGAGGAGAGGAAGTGGTGCTGCAGAATACCGGGTCAGTCCTGCCTCAGCAAGGTGGGGACTGCACTTGGTTGCCTTCCATTATCTTTCACACGACCTTGGGGAAAAGCATCTCTCCTCAGGAGAGAGAGAAGGAACAAAGCCAGATGGCAGGGGGGTAGCATTGGGAGTGGCCACGTTCCTTGGACTGGTGTATCTTTCTGGACATCAGAAGACTGCTTTCTTGATGCTCAGAGCCCACGTCTACTAGGGAGGGCGGGGCATGGACTCTGGAAGCCACATGGGGAAGCAGGGAGGCGGGGAGGCCGGGAGGTGGACCCAGGGCTGAGTGAGAATTGCTCTAAGAGACAGAAGATGTGGCAGGTCCATGAACGAAGGCCATTAGTGAGCATCTGGGACAGGGACCCACAGCAGGCAGGACCCGAGGCATCAAGGCCTGGGACACTGCAGCTGAGGGTGTAGCCGGTCCCAGAGCTTCACCTGACAACACTGCTTGTTGAGGAAGTGGAATATAGTGCTATGCGGGCTGATGGAGGGGGAGGCACAGCCCCAGGACCTGCTCAGCAACAGCAGGTAGCACCAGCCGTGCCTTTCCTCTAGTCTCTGTCACAGTGAGTAGCTCAGGGATTGAAGTGGAGTCAGCGGCCTGCTGGCAGGTCATCCAGAAAGCCCATCACTCTGCTGCCCGCAGCAGCTCCTGAAGCCACCATCTCATGGAGCTACAGTGGCCGCAGGCCCCTAAGCCCCACTGGGGCACGTGTGCTGGGCTCTGCATGTCCTCTGTGCTCGGAGTGATGCTGGTTGTTCCTGAAATGCCCCCCAAGTGTCTCACCTCTGGCACCTCTGTCCTTGCAGGTGCTGCTCTCGGGGCTCATTGGTGTTGTCTCCTGGAAGAGGCCTCTCTCCCTTGTGGTAAGTCACGCCTGGCTCTCCAGGTGGCCGTGCCTGCAGCTTACCCACAGCACCAAGTGCTCCCCGCTTACTGTAATCTTGTGTGTTGTCCTTCTGAGCGTCCTCTGTTGGCGTTTCCGCAGTGCTTGTATCAGCTCCTCCATTCTGTTTGGGTGCCCTCTCGTACAACACAAGATGAACAATGACGTTCAAAAGTGTACATGTCAGTGTGATCTCTAGACATCGAGACCTGTTACACACACACAAACACACAGCACTTGGTTTTCAGCACACACACGTTTAAGCTCACATATGTGCGAACTCACAGGCAGCTCTTGGTTGGTCGGAGCCTGGGAGATGGGAGCCTTTGGTGAGTTCTGGAGGCTGCAGGCGTGCTCGCTTCAGCAGCACACGTACTAAAATTGGAACGAGGCTACAGGGAAGGAGGGTGATGGTCTCTCCCTCCAGAAAACACTCAGCCAGTCTTGTGGCTACTGATTGTGTGTCTGCTCTGCCCAGGGTACACATGTCAGGACTGGAGGAAGAGAAATGATCCTGGATCGTGGTGGTAATGGAAATGACAGTGTGATGGTTGTCTTCTTTTGTAACAATCAATAATTTAAAGATCTCTTTTACAAATGATTAGACTTAGAGATAATGACACAGACTCAATATTCATGGAAAGAGAAAAAGAAAAACCCACTCGTCTGCTGGTGGAGAATATCTCCTTGTCCATGGCAGAGGCCGTGGCTTCCGGAAGAGAGGTCAGAGTGGAGTGGACGTTCAGTTTCCTCGAGCTTGCTCTTCTGTACCCCAGGCCAGAGGAGAAATTTCCTTTAGAAATGGCCCTCCCAGGCCCGGCATGGTAGCCTAGCAGCTAAAATCCTTGCCTTGCATGCACCAGGATCCCATAGGGTGCCAGTTCTAATCCCAGCAGTCCTGCTTCCCATCGAGCTCCCTGCTTGTGGCCTTGGAAAGCAGTTGAGAACAGCCCTAAACCTTGGGCCCCTGCACCATGTGGGAGACCCGGAAGAGGCTCCTGGTTCCTGACTTTAGATCAGGTCAGCTCTGGCCATTGTGGCTACCTGGGGAAATGTATCAATGGACAGAAGTTCTTCCTCTCTGTCTCTCTTCCTCTCTGTATATCTGACTTTCCAATAAAAAATAAAAATAAAAATAAATCTTAAAAAAAAAAAAAAAGAAACAGTCCTTCCTGGAGAATTTGCAGGTATGCACAGAAGTAGGGACAAACATGGGGAACCTGCATGTAGCACCCAGTGCCTCTGGTAAGCCCACGTCTGCCCCATCTGATGTGTGCGGGCTCCCTTAGAACTGCGTTTAAGAACAGATACTTCAATCTGTTTCGTTTTTGCTTTACTTATTTATTTTTTATCATCACCTTAATTGTGCTTATTTCTGGGGAATGGTGTGATGATTTGATAACATGGGGTCGGTGTGTGAACATCACATCTGGTTAGCGTTTTCATCTTTTGCAGCATTTTTCCAGAATGTACTGCACTGAGTGTACTTGTGTCCGGGGTGCTGAGATGGCTGAGTAGATGTCCACACCGGGAGATCCAGGCTCGTCGGGTCCCCTCCCAGTCGTCTCCCTGTTGGTGACATGTGCTCCCCTCTCACGGGGCTTCCTAAAGCAGGTGGCAGGTGACTGTGACTGCATCAGCCATGGTGCTGGGGGACTCCTTAACACTCCACTCCCTACCTGGAACGTGGTTCCTGTTACCAGCTCCTTCCCTTTCCAGAGTAGCAGTCCCTATTCTGTGCCCACCTGGACTTTTCCTTCTGTTGGCTCTGACTGGATTGGGCGCCATGGTACAGTGGAAGTGCGACCACGCTGGGACTGACGTCATTGGAATGTACAACTGCAGTTGGTGTTGACTTTGTGGGGCCTTTGGGGACCCTCCTCCTTCCTAGCCCCTGTTGTGCAGCCAGGTAGAACCCTGAGCTAGCAGAGGAAAAGTGGTCCTCCTTCTGGAGGGAGGGTGGTGGAGGGTAAGAGAGGAGTGGATCCGTCCTCCCAGCCCCCTCCTCCCCGACCCTGGGCGCTGGCCCAGGACGGAGCTGCTCACAGGGCTCTGTGTGGCACCTCGTGGGAGATACGTGGCTTACAGCTGATGAGCGTGAGGACTCCTTATGGGAGCCAGAATGGAGAGGTGGGGTCTTTAGGCAGCATCGCAGGGATGCCAGAGGGGAGCCTTCCAGGTGCTTGCTCCCTGGGGACTTTGCTGCAACAGAGGGGGTGGGGGCAGGCTGCTTTGCAGGGGGTCCTAGGCACCCACTTCCCTTGGACTGATGTCTCCCCAAGACACAGGCTGGGGAGAAGGACTTCATGGAGCTTGGTGACCGCTCTGTCTCACCGAGGGAGATGAGCGTGTTTTTATCTTAGAGCAGCCCTATGAACTGGGCCTTGCTGATCCCAAAGTCGTCCTTCGTTGCTGCCCCTGCAGGGCGTGGAGGCTTTCTCTCTGACCCGCAGCACTTCTCTAAGGATCGCTTTCCTGGTGTCCCTTAGGGTCTCGGTTGGTGACACTGCCACCCACACCACCAACCGTCTCCTGCCCCCCTGTCCTGCCCACGCACAAGCTCTCTCCATTTGACATCTGTGCAGTTGGTTCTCTCCCTTTGCTGAGCCTCCTGTTGCAGGGTCAGGGCACCACTGTGGCCTCCCAAGACATCTTGGTGTCGGGGCTTTGGTTCTAATCAAAACCACACTCAGTACACAGGTATGGGGCATTTGGTGTCTGTCTTGAGTCTGTTTCCTGTGGCTTAAAAAAAAAAGAAAAAAAGAAAAAGAAAACAGCAGATGCTGGATGCTTTATCAAATATCCATTCTTTATCATGAGAAAAAGCTTATTCAGCTCCCACTTTTGAAGATTGAGAGTGGAAGACCAGACTGCCTCCGTGTCTTCTGTGAGGGTCTCAGGGTGGGAGTGTGTGGGGAGAGCATGGGCTGGGACCAGGAGGCGTGCTGTGGAGGGGCCAGTCCAGCCCCTTGGCTAAGGGAGATACCCAGGCCAAGGGAGCAATGTCAGTCCCTGGCAATGCCCTCAATGAACCAACAGCCCTCCTTGAGATTCCACCTCTTAAAGTTGCCACAATCTGTCACTCCCTTACCTGGCCTCCCAAGCTTAACCCTGGAAGCAGGTAAAATGTCTGTTACTTTCCTCCCTACAGTCCTGCCCCATCTGGTTCCCCCTGGGCCCAGGAAAAGACAGAGTGGAAAGCCAGTACCTCACCCAGCTAGCATGGCTTCAAGTCTGGATTTTAATCACTTTTTTTGGCCCTGAGCCCTTGGTGGTTTTTTTTCCCCTTTGCTAATGCTGCATTTCCATCTGTCTGAAGCTGTAAAGCTGAGATGGCGCAGTGAGAATTCTCGTGGATTCCCAGGGTACGCACTGCTCCTCCAGTGAGTCACCCTCTGCAAAGGGAGAGTGCCCGTCTCGGGGTGGGGGGCCCTGCGCAGGCACTGGCACAGCCACACCAGGCACCTGCTGCTGGCATGGTTTGGACCTGCCGGCGTTCCTCGGCAGGCTACAAGTGTGAGCTCGTGGTCTCCCCCTTCCCAGCCCTTGGTGCCTGGAGACGGTGCGGGATGCATGAGAGGCTGTCGGCCTGCAGCCCCAGGGTGTACCAGAGGAGGAGGAAGAGAGAGGTGCCGCGGTAGCTGGCACACACTCCAGGAAGGAGGCCCTCATGCCAGCCTGGTGAAGCACGAGGCAGGAACTGTGTGGGGTTTTTTCCCCCTTGTAATTTCTCGAGAGCCTTGCCCAGTGCCGAAAGCTGACAACAGCTGTGTGACTAAAGAATGTATATTATCATATTTTCGCTTCCCTGTGGTGGGGCTTCCAGTACATGGTCTGTTGGAGTCCAGCTCCAGCTGGGTTCGGAACTCACGAAGGGTGCGTGGATGAGGCGCAAAGAGCGAATAAAGACGGACCACTAGGATTTCATGATGATAATGGACAATGGGAGAAAGCTGTCTGCTTTATTTATACAGAACCAGTCAAACTCTGGCTCAGACTTTTTACGTCATGGTCAAGTGGGTGTTTCTAAGGATAATTCTGCCATTTGTTTTACCTAAAAACAATAGAAGTTCCTGCTACAATTCTTATCCTACAACTCAATCTTGTATCACAAAGAAAAGGAGAACCTAAAGATCAAGGAAAGAACGAAAGCCTAAATACAGGTCCCTTGATTAGCATAAGGTCAATGGGGACAGCCAAGACAGTAGGAATAATAGAAGGCCCTTTTGCAAGACGTTATTATTGACATTAACCTCCAAGCTCACATTGAGTAAAAGGCCAGCCTCACAGTAGCAAACAATGCCCTGCCTGCAATGGGACAATACTCTTCACACCTTCATGTCCCCCACATCCACTGCACAGACCCCAACAATGGTCAAGGTCTCTAAGATTGAGAGAATTGTCTCCATTGCATCAAGTCATAAAGGGTTCTGCATCGTCCTGGACGCCAGTTGGGGATCAGGGTGTATATAGCTCGGACAAGGTGGATGTCTGAAGACTCAGTGACTGTCTCATGAAGGCGTGTGTGTGTTGATAATGCCAGTGATTCCACATGTGATCACAGCGGGTGTAATGAAAACATGCAAAGAACGGGGCTGGCACCATGGCATGGTAGGCTAATCCTCCACCTGCTAGTGCCAGCTGGAGCCTTCTGATTCAGCTCCCTCCTAACAGCCTGGGAAAGCAACAGAGGACCACTCAAGTCCTCCGGCTGATGGTTCCTAACTCCCAGCTTTGGATCAGCTCAGCTCTGACCATTTTGCTGCCATTTGGGGCATGAACCAGCAAGTGGAAGGACCTCTCTGTGTCTTTCTCTATATATAAAATCTGCCCTTTTTTGTTAAAGATTTATTTATTTATTGGAAAGTCAGATATACGAGAGGAGGAGAGACAGAGAAGAAGATCTTCCATCTGCTGATTCACTCCCCAAGTGAGTGCAACGGCCGATGCTATGCCGATCCGAAGCCAGGATCCAGGAAC